CCTTGAGACTGTTTTGATTTAATCCACAGTGAAAAACAAATCACATGGTAGCTTGTATTTTATTTTATTTTTTTGTCATTTTGACCCAGGCTGCTGCTAAGCATTGTGTGAAAAATCCCTCCATTCTAGGCCTGGTCAGTTCTTTGACAATATCTTTGCCCCTGAACTGTCATCAGCAAGCTAGATTAGCCTGATCTACAAAGGTGCCTGTAGGCTTCTTGAGCAGGGTTCTTCAACTAATGGGTCCCACTTCTTAGAGTTTTGGAGAGCTTTCTCACTGCTGCTTTTAGATGCAAGCTGCTGTTGACCTCTATCCTCGATAAAACTTATACATCTTGACAGGTGGATAATGAAAAGGGTATGAGTGGAATGAATTCCTTCCGACTGCCCATTGCCACTTTTGTTCAGTCAACTCACCTTCCAGAGAATTCTTTGAATTTCTCACCTTGGAAAATTTGCTGTCATTCAGAGATCATAGTTAAGGATGCTGGAATGAGATGGCAAACTAATTAGAAGGAGATAAGAGCCCAGAGTGAAAATAAGCAATCTTTTTTTAGCTTCCATCATGTTCTTCGGCAGGGTGAGAGACACCTGGATGCTCCTGATTGCTTTATTGGGGGAAAAAACTCTCTCTCTCTCTCTCTCTCTCTCTCCCTTTCTCTCTCTCACACACAGAGTATTTTACATTTTCAGATTGTTGTTTTGTTTGTTGCATTCTTAATTTAAAGCAAAAAATAGAAGAAAAAATGAAATATTCAGAACTTGAGCCCACCACTTTGTTTTCCTCCTTAGAAATTGAAGGAATCTCCATACCAAAATCTCCCGTAGTGATTTTTCAAGACTGCCTTCCTTCCTGCAGTTGCATTTAGCTGTGTGTGCAGAGAGGGATATCACTTTCTATATTACTCTGGGTTGCATGTATGCCAGCATCATCTCTTTTTCTCTCTCTCCTCTGACTCTCAGTTCTCCTTTGCTAACAGTGTTTGCTGTCCAGAGACTACTCCAGGCAGCTGATTATGGTGGTCCTACTCCTTCACCCTCTCAGGGGACTCCAATGCATAGGGGCAGTGGTAGGGTGTGTAACACCAGTGTAGGGGCCTGGCTCAATGCTGGTCAAAGGGAAATGGCAAAAAAACGTAGCCATTAACTTTTAAAAATTTAATATATGTATGTTTAATGGCATACCCAGTACCATTAAGGCTAGGCTTAGAGGATTTCTATGGTTCATGTATTCAAGGACTCAATGGCTGATCTCTTGGAATACTTAATAAACCCTTAGGCTTAGTTATTCCAAAGAATTTTGCAAAAATGTTCCATTATTATTGTTTGATCAAAGCCACATGTATTTTCACGGTTGTAGACAAAGTTACCTACACTTAAATGCATTGGAGAAACTTCTAACCACAGTTTCCCCTTCTTAGGGCAGCATGACAACCAAATATATGAAAGCAAAATCAATCCAATCTGTTTTTACTAAACAGCAAGCAAGCAAGTGACACTGAGTCAAACAACAGGCAGAGATCTTATAGAGAGGATTTTGTCTCTCAAAAGTTCAAGGAGATTATCAAATTGAAGATTCCAGTTAAGGGGCCAACTGGAATTCTGATCAGATGTAGAGCTAGAAAAGTTAGGGGGGGTTAATTAGAGAGAGCATGGGCACATGTATCTGGAGCGCAGCCACAATCTTCGGTCCTCTCACACCCTTGTTTTTTTTTATCCTCTTGTGTCCCGGCAGCAAATCTCACCTTTTCTGATTTAGCCTTTCCTGACTGACTCTGTGCCTTCCCTCATTTTCCCCTTCTTTTCTCCAGAATAGTCAGCTTGTAACCCGCAAGATTGATAAGTATGTTTAACCATCCCAAGTAGCTAGGATTTTATTTTTCATATCACAGCTAAATTGATCCTCCTGACTCTGATGTTCAGTTCCTGTTCCCTAGTTTGTCTTTCTTTTGCAGCCTCTAAATATCTCCAGTTATTTCCCATCAGCTGGCAAAGATAAACCACAACATTTAGCTTTAGTTCTAAAGAGGCATAGTTTTATCTCCAAAAATCTGCCTTTAAGTGTTAACTTGTGATTAAAACAGGACAGGACAGCAATTCAAATCCGAAAGTACACTACTAAAAATGCTCATTTTTTTTTTAATTTTTGTATCAATGAATGAAAAGTCTTCAGTATTGCAGCCCTCAGGTGGCACTCATAATACTGAGGATGAGAACCATCCCTTACCATTTTATTTTATTGCTAACAGATCTGTTTCTTATTTCAAGAAAGCTTGTAAGTCATTCATTATTTTTGTTCCTCCTTCTAGAGTCTGGTGGGCCATCCTTCACTATCGGCAAGTCGATCTGGCTACTGTGGGCTCTGGTTTTCAACAATTCGGTTCCCATTGAAAATCCCAAAGGCACTACCAGTAAAATTATGGTCCTCATCTGGGCCTTCTTTGCTGTCATCTTCTTAGCCAGCTACACTGCAAACTTGGCAGCATTCATGATCCAGGAGCAATATATTGATACCGTCTCCGGGCTGAGTGATAAGAAGGTAAGCAATAGTGATGATTTATTAATATGATATGAAGGTGGCAACCAACATTAATGACCTTGGTGTACGTCACCAGAAAGGTCAATGGTAGCAAGTTGATGCCTTCCATTTATCCCAAAATCCCTTGTTATCGGTCATGCTTCTTGGAGGTGTAAGTTCAAAGAATGGTTTTGAAGTTTATTGTTTAGGACAGGATGCTGATGATAATCAGTGAAGGTTTGTGAAGTTGGATTTGGTTTGTCTCCAGAGTCATTTTGATTAAACATCTAGGGCAATGTGAGGCACAACAGAGATAGCTGCTCTGCTATCTTCCTGAGAGCTCACAGAGGCTTATGCAACCATGGGGCTGGTTAGCAGCCCTGAAGACCCGTCCCCTTCTTTTAATTAACATTGGATTTTAATCATCTTTGCCTCTTTTTAAATGTTATTTAAATTGATAAATGCATCAATAGTACAAAGAGCACACTGGCTCCAAGTAGATTTCCAGTTGCAATTCAAGGTACTTGTTATCACCATTAAAGCCCCGCATGGCACAGAGGCAGGTTACTTTTGGAATAGCCTGTCTCCAGCAGTTTCAACCAGGTCCATCAGGATGGGCTTATTCTGGATACCTATAGGAGAAGGGCTGACAGAGTCAGATGAAGAGGTGAAAAGAGGAATCAGCCTAGAATCACTATATAGCCACAAAGTCCACCCCCCCTTGACTGTCATTGATCCTTATCTAACTCTAAGCAGATGCTGACCATTCGTTGAGAAGATTCATGTGCATAGGCTTTTAGCAATAAATCAGTTAAATTGAACATTCAGGTGTGGACCTGGTCTTTCGCACCTGACAATACCCTCTCTGAACCAACTTCATCTTATGGGACCCAGGAGACATGTTTCTCTACTTCAGAGCCTGCCCCCTGGGACAGCTTTAGTCCTGAGTCCTACAGATGACCAGATTCTGCTCTGAAAGGACAGGATAACCTGGCTTCCTCAGGTATTAGGGCCAAGATACTAAAGCCCAATATATATGGCAGTGTGTGAATTGCTGATAATGTGTGAATTCCCTCGGTTATATTATGTTTATCTTATTTTATTATTATTTAATAGCATTCTATATGGTTTTATATCGGTTTTTATGAACACAGTTTTAATGCATTATTTGTTAGTCACTCAGATTTATTTCTTTCGGATTGATGGCCATATAAATTTTCCAAATAACATCACATAAATAAAATGAAAAAAAAAAGTCAAAATGCAAGACACATGGAGACCACTCAATTGTCTTTCATAGGCATGATAATTGTCAGAACCTGACAATTACTAGCTTTTTTTTTAATCATAGGAAACTAGTCTTTGGAGAACAGCTGTGAAAAGTCATTTTTGACTTTTGACTAAAAATAATGGTCCCTGTATCTATGGTACAATAAGCAATTTTTCTGGGAAACCATTTGTGCTCCTATATTTGACTTTGATGTGACTGAAGATAGCAGTCTTACTTCATTTCCTTGAATGTATCATGACTCTCTGTAAAAAAAGTAAATGGAACATTGTGGCAATCTAAGTTATCAGCTAAAATAAAATAAATGTGTACATAACCTCCTTTTTCAACCTGAGGTTATGTAAAATGGAAGGTGCAGAAGTATGCACACAGCATTTTCTGGGCTAGACTCAGTGTTGAAGAAAATTACACCAACTATTTTCTTTTGGTCTTCCTTTCCAGTTCCAAAAACCTCAAGAGCAGTATCCTCCATTCCGATTTGGAACCGTTCCCAATGGTAGTACAGAGAGAAATATCCGGAGCAATTACCATGACATGCATTCCCACATGGTAAAATACAACCAGCGCTCAGTGGAAGACGCCCTCGTCAGCCTCAAAATGGGGTAGCTTTCTGTTTCTTCATCCTCAAGGTTTCTCTGTCCAATGACATTCCTAACCAGATCTGATTAGGACAAGATTGCTAATCCTTTTGAAGTAGCACCAACATTGATTTCTAGGACTTAGTCCTATCAAGTTGTAGTAATTACTTTGTTTC